CAATTTACGAGCAAGGAAACGCTGCGAAGTCATTCACTACCCAAGGCTAATACTGCAACCTCGTAGCACTTCGGAGATAACTGTAAACAAAGCCGCCATCATTGAGGAAAGACGTACAGGTTTCGTCAGTGGGCACTTCAGTTCATGGTGAATCCTGGCCTTAATTAGCAGGTAGTCTTCCGTTATCCCAGCCGGTCATCGTCCCCTGGTATCACTGACCCTCCTATTGTTAGTAATCAATAAGCAGTTGAGTGGCAACACTGACCACTCAAGGGAGCCTTGAGCAGAGGTCTTTGTTACTGGGCTCCGGCGCTCACTAATGGTGCCCATGATGACTGCCTCCTCAACTGTTCCCTCCATGTATACTTCATGTGTGAGATGAGGATCAATACTGCCTGACGACGGCAGACGGACCGGACACCTCTCTTTCTCTCTCTCTGTCTCTGTTTCTCTCTCTCTCTCTCTCTCTCTCTCTCTCTCTCTCTCTCTCTCTCTCTCTCTCTCTCTCTCTCTCTCTCTCTCTCTCTCTCTCTCTCTCTCTCTCTCTCTCTCTCTCTGTGTACGTACTCACCTAGTTGTGCTTGTGGGGGTTGAACTTCGGCTCTTTGGTCCCGCCTCCCAACCACCAATCAACTTGTGTACAGGTTCCTGGGCTTACTGGGCTCTATCATATCAACATTTAAAACTTTGTATGGAGTCAGCCTCCACCACATCACTGCCTAATGCATTCCATTTGTTAACTACTCTGACACTTAAAAAAAAAAATGTCTCTGGCTCATTTGGGTACTATTTGAGGAGTCAAGATCTTCATCTTGCCCATTTTGTTTGCTTCTTATAATCTTGTATGTTGTGATCATGTCTCTGGTTCCTTCCTTTAATCCATAGTAGTTATGGTTCTATTTCACTGTGTCTTTTCTTATACCCCAGAAGTATGTGCCCAGACTCTTCTTGTCTGTGCTTAAGAAAGGTGATTCCAATAAGACTTTTCTCTTGTGAGCGCAAGTTATGACTTCTTTGTAAAGTGGGCCGTTTCTATCCGCTG